AGTTCATCATAGGTACACTTCATATCCCGTAGACGTGGTGGGCATGGCAGCATGCGCCATTCCATGGGGTAGCGGCTGGCAACTAATTCTCGTTTTCGGAACACTTGTAAGGATGTTTCCTTCGAGCAGAACACAGCACGATAGATACCCTGGATGGATATATGCTATAAAAAAAGCCTGTGCCATGGTCGAATGAGATGCGCGGCCACGCCCTCCCCACCGTGATGATGAGTGCAACTAATTTAACGGAATGGATTCTAGCTGTGAAGGTCTCTTTTCATTTTAGCCGTTATCTAGCCTTTCCAGGATTATTTCCCGTGGTATCTCCTTCCGAGGGAATTACAAGTGAAAATTCTACGAAATCTGAGCCGGAGAGATGTTGATAGTTGTCGCCTACTGAATCGTGATATGTTAGAGCTTATTCGGTGCAATGAGAGATGGATGAAAAGAAGATTCATTGATCAATTAAGGATACGAACGGTTCGTTGCATAAACTGGGGCTGTTCGACTTAGGAGGGGCATTTTGCATTTTCACCGTTGTTTTACTAGTTCCTATTGAATTACACGTTTCACCGCTACGATACCTGCAGACTCCTGTCAGGTGTGAACGAGGATTCCTATTAGCTTACAGGTCTTCATAGCATAGGTGGAAATCGATGGGAACCAGCAAAATAGTCATCCCCCAAGCTGAACTGTGCTCATGAACCGCCGAAATTTGGGCGGAACGTCGAAGGGATGAGCGCGACTAACCCCTTTTCTCTCTCCAACTCAACCCCCAGCTACTTACTTTCAGATGTATGATTCTACCATACAATTGGACGTATGTTGTCACGAGGAGGGAATAAAAAAGACATTGGTCAGTTAGGAAGAACCCTCATATGACTAGTTTTCTTTGGAATTTTATTATGCTGCCCTCAATTTGAAGGGACACTGCACGCTTACCTGAAAATTTGGTCCTTTCTTTGGGTGATGTGAGCAGACCTACAGCTACGGGAAAGGGTCGCTCTCGTCACTTGAAAAAAGTGTGGTAGTGAAGCTGGAGAGCCTTTGTATCCTCTTGGACTTACTCCTGAAGGTCTCTTCCTCTTATGCAGGACTCAGGCACGCAACACGCCGCACTACCAACCATTCCGGAATAGCCCGGGACCTCTCTCTCGTTCTCGTCATTAGTCCTTTGGCGACACAACGCCTGATAAGGAGCTCATTCTCTGATCCTCCCTGGAGTCCGCTCTTCTAAAAAAGGCTACCTCGCGCCAGGACCGCAACGAAAATACTAGTTGGCACGTAACCAGCATCGCACAAGACAAACTTCTAGTAAGCGTGCAGTATGAAATTAAAAAAACGAGAACAAAAAACTCGAAGGCAAAATGTAAGCTGTGTACTTTCAGCATATTGGACAAGCCCTTAATCTGGGACCTCTGAGAGAACATCTGATTATGAGTGGTCAGTGCAGACCTTCTCATCTTGCATCCTCCATGAAATTCGAACATTGCCTGCTGAGGATATTTAAAAACGCAGACGTCCGCGACCTATGGTTCTCTGAGGTGAGCAGAAAATTCTTCATTTACTGTATAACTGCCATATTTTCCAGAAAAGTGCTATTTCATTTGGGGGAGGGGGGCACTACCTATCTTTGGGAGTTCAACTCATTCAAATTCCGACCAGATATTTACCAAAATCTCTCGATTGCTCTGGATCTAACGCAAGTCCAGTCGAAAGAGTCCGCTGTTTGTGAGGGCACGTCAACGGCGTTGAGTCGGGCGCAGGGCCTGCCCATTTTTCTTTTCGGTAGGGACAAGCTTGAAGCAGTTTGCCCTTCCTAGTTATTACTTATCCGTTCCAACAATTGGTGGAGAAGAGGTTGGCGGTGCGGCTAATTCGGCGACCTGACACACCCCTTGACACGCCCCAGCATACGGCCTGTGGCACTGGCGCCTGTAGTTTGGTGCGGGCGCCTTCGATATATGGGGACTGCGATATTCGAGCACAGATACCGGTAACAAAATCGTCTTTGCGAAACCCATCCAGGGGTCGTATTTGATTGCGGAGGAAGGAGGTCGTATTCTGCACCATGACAAATTTGAAAATCTTTCGACATTTCCGATAGTATTCTTCTTTACGCTTTAAGCGTGGTCCCCCTGCGTTTTCGCTATAAGCAGCGGCTGTTCAGGAGGCAACGTACATAGTGTAGTAATTATGAGAAACCCATTAAGGGGGGGGGGGAAGGTTTCCTACTTTGCTCCAAGGAGACTTCTTGAAGTTATTGGATTCACGCTACATTCCAGCCCACCCTTCGACAATTAAAACTACGGAACAGTTGGTAATGACGCAATCAGGTTGTCAGGGGGCTGGAGGAGAAAATTCGTAGGGTTTAACACTCCACCACTTCTTCCCCACTGACGTGGGAGTCAGCCCTTATCGTTGAAATCCTCCTAATCAAGGCGCTTTCTGTTGAAATGGATTCTAGTCTGGGGGATGCATTTGGAGGTTTCAGGCGAGAGATTGTAAAAGACTAACGGCATATTACTCCGGAGCAAGGGGTGTTGGCGTCATAGGAAGGATTTCAAAAAAGAAACCGTACACAAGCTCCTTGGATCCTGTTCTCACAAGAACTGGGCTAGAGTTTAGTGACACAATGGTGCCGTCACCTCCTTCTGCTCGAGCTGCTGCTTGCTGAGTCACGTGCTAAACCGTAACCGTTTTCCCCTCAATGTTCTCTACCTCTGCTGGACCTTAGCAACAACGCGAGTACTACAAGTTGAGGGTAGCACGAACAGAATCGTGAGATAAAACGCGGGTAGTCTAGTCGCCCAAGCCTTGCAACGTTCTTACCCTTTTGCCTGGGGTCAATTATTTTTGCCCCTGACTCTTCGTAAGACATTTACCATAGGTAGCCTTTTCTCTTCGTAATCCCTTGATCCTTCAATGTTCCAGGAATACTTAACGGACAGCATTCTCCGCACCGTTTCCGCATATCTACAGCACGCGGGCAGCAAGATATCAAGCTTATGGATAACTGAAATACCAAGGTATCACGTTACATCTGCTGCACTTCTTCAACTTCTTCGCGTAGCTGACCCTATGGAAGTGTTCCTCGACGGATTTCTTCCCCGTGATGACTCCTGTGCGGACCTTTTGCAATTTGTTGTGAAGAGACCTTATGTCTCTTTGAGATCCTCCTATGGAAGCCTCATCCCAATAGACGACGATATTCTTGCTGGCCTCACTGCAAATTCTTTCTATATCGGCGCTCCAAACTTGATCACAGTCGATGGTTTGGTGAACTTCGTGAAGGTGATTTTCAAACATTTTCCATGATTAGCTACTAAGAGTGAACATGTATCTCAGAATTTGGCAAGCAGGAAGCAAAAGGTCGACCATGGAATGATTTTTTCCAATTATTGCTTTTTTCGGAACCCATTCCCCGTGGCTGCTAATGCTCATTTCAAAGTAGTCACGGGAATATGTGGCATCGAAATTATTGGCCGAAAAAAGAGAACCAAGAAGATGAAGAAAAGAAAGATGAAAAGAAATATGAACGAGCTCGAGCGACTTGACAAATCTCCTTTGTAATTAGCGACATATTAAGTGACGTTTCATTTCGTTTTACAACCGTTATTTATCCAATAGTTGTATTTTTTCTGTTTTTCTAATTTTTCTCTAGTTTTTCTGTTTTTCCAATTTTTTTCCATAGTCTGATTACTTCTGCGATCATAGTTGTACAGATAGAGGACATTGAGATATTTTTGTATAGGCTAATGAAAACACGTTTATCTTAATAAATATCGATTCTGATGAGGTTTCTATCCCTCTATCTTTGCGTGTTTTTGGGCTGTTCTCGAGGTTCCGCGATAACCGAATGGGCGGAGAATCGCAGGGTGGCAGTGAGGTCCTTTGTCGTAGTTCCAGATATCCGATATCAGGTGATATCCCTACGCTGAAATAGTGCTCAACTCTCAATATCTTTGCGCAAGCGTTAAGGGGGTCCTAGCCGAGTGCAGAGGATGGAGAGGGTGCAGTGCACCGGGTTTGTGAAGATAGGACCATGCGACGTCGCGTGCGATAACTGCAGATATCAAATGGCTGCAATCGCGCCCGCTCGCAATGGTTTTTTTTGCGACCGTGACATTTAGCTGTTATTTTTTCAACAGGACAGTGCGTCGCCCTTCAGGAGGACGGCAATAATTAAAGTCTCTAGAATATGCTGTCCAGAAAGTATTGTGACAGCCAAATGATTAAGGATCGGCAGGTGAGCTGAACTGACCTGCAAGCAGAATCTGTGCGCGTTCCTCTGCACTATAATTACTATGTAGTAGCTGTATTTATGGAAATAAAATAAAACCTAATCGTCGTGGCAACCCAGGCTCTACTAGAGTGACGGGCATGGTTGAAAACTGGAGCGGACACAATACAATTCAATAACGCAATAAGCTTGTCGCGAGGTTGCGCTCTGCTGCGATTCCGCGGTATTTGCAGGTTGCCGCGACGTCGCATAGTCCTAAAGACCGACTTTTTAGGGTACCACACCTCACAATTTTATCACAAAGTCGCAGTAACGGAATGGGACAAAGCAGAGAAATCTGGGTGTCCAAAAGGGGCTATTTAAGTGAAGTCTGGCTCCAGTAGAAGAGTCAACAGTGCTTCTGCTTCATTAGCTACATCCACTCGGTTGCGGAAATTTTACGATGCTATGCCGCATAAATTTCTGGTAGGACCTTCTGATAATTTTCATCGGATTTCTAGGAGTTATAATACACCCTTCCGAAAGTAAAAGTGTTCTACAGAATTCACTGGAAAATGCTCATGATTCCCTAATACTCCTGTAGCATGAAGTTTTCTGATTTCCCGGCGGACGAGTTGCCTTGAACTTCACGATTCCTGCAGCGAAATAGCCATGCCTATTGAACCAAGAATTCATGTTAACACATTATATATACGGATTTATTTGGAAAGGGATAAAGGCAATGTAATACACACAACATTGAAGTAGTCTAAGAGTACTATCGATGTTCAAAACAAATGTGAAAGGGATGGGGTTTCCTCATGGTTCCCATTTCATTCGTGGCTTTCAGGCTTGGCATATGAAGAGGATCCGCCGAGATTTTGTAGCGAAGCAGGAAGTTCGCGATGATCTAAATGAAGGTCTTCACAAGAATAGTAGGTTAGTCGAAGGGTATTGCTCCTTAAAACGTTCGTGGCGGCGCCGTTTCGTCAAAAACGTTCGAGCGACGCGTTCGCGGCGGGCGACACTTAGGCAGTCATCCCGTTCATGGTTGCGCGCTCGCGACGGAACCATAAACGCCTAAAAATTCACGAAAGCCGTTTTCGCCATTCTTTTTACATTTTTCCCTTCTACGTTTATCTAAGTTTCGGTAAATGAACTAGCTTTCTTGCCCTTTTTGATGTTCACTGGTACCGCACAAAGAGGATGTAGACTTTGATTCTTGTGAAAGTTCTTAGTTTCTTGTAAAAACCACTACTGCCTCACCTGGTTCCAAAAAATACACGAGAAATGTTCTTAGTATTACTTGTATATTATTTGTTTTATGATTTGTTCATAATTGCCAGTGAAAAGAAGAAAAAATCATCAAAAAACGAGCGAAGAGGCGCGTGTACTCCCAAGAATGCACGATTCGCCTAAAGAGGAAAGTTTTTGAGTATTTTTCCAGGTATACACGCCTCTTCTAATGTGTGGATATTATTTCTCTATTGTTTGATTATTATTTATATCCAATTGTTAGTGGGAAAAGCAAATAAAATATAGAAAAACAGCGATGGGAAAAACGGTGTTTCCTCTGGAGTTCAAAGGCAGCATCCAGGTCGGTCGCATGGGCGGAGTACAGCGGTCCCACTGATTGCTATTTCGTTCATAATCGGCAAAAAGGAGGGCGCACCTATGATCAACGAAGGTGAAGAATGCCTTTTCTACACTACGGCAACGCGCATCAACTAGCAGGGTGTTTTCTTAGTCGACAAGTACGTTGCATTGGCTTGGTCGTGGGGCGGATTCCCTGTACTAGAATCCGCTTGCAAGGTTTTTTTGCCGCCCTCGCCCTATGGAGCTGCAAAAGACACGCAGAGCACGGTGGTAGGTGTGACTCCGCCCATACCAGGGTGGACCGATTGATTAAACCAACCCAGCAGAAGCTCAGTTGGGCACTGCGCATCTTGGATTTTCAACTGTTCTTGGCTTTTCTCCTGGACATATCTTTCTTAGCGGTTACCCGAAACTCACAAAATTTGGGTGCAGGCGTACTGACCGCTTTTTGATTTCACTGGATTTTTTTCGTGAATAGCGAATTTTTCATCGAATAAGAAAAAAGAGGAATCACCAGATAGAGCTCCGCTTGTGCAAGGGATTCTCCCAGACACGATCTCTTTCCCAAACCGAAAGCAACCACCCTTTGCTCTAGTTTGTTACCATTGAAGTAGCGGTCTGGATTAAACTGAAAATAACAATTCAGACAAATTTTCTCAACATTTAAAAATTTGAAAATTTGCCTCGTAGCGGTTTCTTGAAGTGTTTCTCGTCAGTCATAATGAGGGAGATTTGAGCTGTGATGGCGGTTCCTTTAGGAATCACGTATGATCCAACGACGGTATCTTCGGAAGTATCTCGCCAAAGATTCATCGGCACTAATGTTGCGCATCTATGGACTTCCTGAAACGATATTCGCTTGGCTTCTCAGACCCTCCGAGGCCTAGTTGGTCACAGTGTGAGCAGAGTTGAGGCTATCACCAAACCCATGATGACCCGCCCGAATCGACCCACACAACCAGCATGAGCTGTGCCCTCAACGAAATCCGAACTCACAGCTATCGTGGCGTTGTAGTAGGGAGTATTCGGCCTGTCTACGATAGAGAGCGGACGTCGACCTTTTGTAACGGAAAACAGCTCATCCTCAACGCGAGCTATTACCTATAACTTATACCGAATGTTTTTTCAAATACAAACCCAACAATTGCGTACACATTGGCGACAAGGCGCCTTTTCGCGTGTCTGCCGCGTGGGACAAAGCAGTTTTTCCCTATTTTCGAAGAATGCGCATAAATGCTAGGGCGTTTATACGCCAAAAAAATTGAAGAATGGTCAGAATTCATTGCAGAAGCTAGTAAGGCTTCGCTATTCTTGTTTACTTTCAAGATAAACCCTGAAATTTCATGGAATACTCCCGCCTCATTCACGTGGAGCGTGGGAACAAGGTCGCAAAAAGGAATATTTTCGCGCCAGAGGTGGTAAATTGGATTCGATTCAGATCTGCTATTGTTGAAAGTTACCTTATCACATTAGCTATCTGCATGTGGAGCTTCAGTTCTATATATCCAAGAATTATCTTTTTTTCCTAGGAAATCACTTTCGTTTGTCTCCTCGGTAAAATACTCTCAATGACACAACTGCACGGTTTACAGCTACTGTATATTCTACAATGCCTTCATGGACAATATGCAGCTGTTGAAAATTCGAAACGTCTTCAAATTGGTTTTTTACCCATGCCGCATCCCAGCAGTGGGACGCAATGTCCCACGCGGCAAAAAAGGTGCGTCCCAGCAGTGGGACGCAATGTCGCCAACGTGTTAAATATGTAACAAAACCCATACTGAATACTTCTAGTAGGCTGACACTTTACTTACGTGGGGGTTGAGCAGTAAGAAGGAAAACGCCCATTCCAACGTGGTAATTGTTGTTTCTTGACCCGCCAGCCATAGGTCGAGCAGCGACATTAACAGCATTTCCTCACTGGAAAAAAAGTCAGCTGAAGAGAGGACGTAGAACAGCATAAGGAAGAAGAAAAGACTCCAGCAAAGAGAAATGAATAAGTATAGAGAGCTAAGCGCGTTCAGGCCCTCTCGTGACGTATTAGTATTTCACTCTGATACAGAATCCTGAGGCCTTTAAATGTGGTTCGCCTTTGGAGTGGCTCGTGGTAGTGGGAATCAGTGTTGTGCTCCTAGGTAATTATGCTATCGGTTGACCAACACCAGGAGGACGAAGGTTTATTGGACACAGTATGCAACCCTCGACTTGGCTTTTTACCCCTGATTCCGAGCTTATTGGGCACGTAAGCTTGCAAAGTTCCGGACACACCTTCTTGACAGAAAACGGACGCAGAAGAGTAAGGGAAAATCTCAAAAAGGGAAAATATGTATGTTGATATATGAATATACTCACTCAAAGCTAGTTGGCACTCCAGTTTCGCGTTCTTTCTTCATTTGAATCAAGAAGGCATCGACGAAATCGTCACCTTCTCCTTGTAGCACATGGGTTCCGTTAGCTATTTCTTGTTTCCTGGAATGAATCCTGTGGTTGCTTTTAATACATGAAATACAATATAACTCCTTTTGCAGCTGAAAAGCGGAGTTTATGAGGCTAGCGGAAGCTGTTGTTCGCATATACTGTTATTCGCTATCCACCCCCTCTCTCCTCTCTCCCCCCCCCCAAGAGTGCCAGGAGTTGGGTTCGACGCGGCGCCAGCCAATTTTCCACCAATCGTGGTCGTCTGCCCGCTTCTACGATCCCCTCACGCGCCTCGATCCGTAGTGAACAAAGCTATTTGACAAGGAATCAAAAATATTTGGCAAAGTTCTGTCAGTGTTTCTTGAAAAGCTTACAGTTTTTGATTCTCGATGCTTGTACATGACGTAACATGCCATGCTTGTAGAACATTCTAGGAGCTTTCCTGCAAGAGGTGTGTGAGGGCGCCTGCTCTTCCCTGGGTTTAATTACGATGTCAGTTTCACAGGAGCATCTTCGGGTCATCATCTTCTATCAGTGGCCCCGCGGCACTGGAGCCACGGCAGCTGTCCGTAACATCAACAGTGCATTGAGGGAGGACACCACTACCGTCAGGATCGTTCACTTTTAGTTCGCTCGCTTCGCGAAAAGAGACTCGATCCTCGAAGACAAACCTTGGTTGGGACGGCCCCAAGAAGTGGAAGACTCCACCATTCTCGAAGCAGACAAGGGGGATCCAGAGGCTACCACCCGCAGTCTTGCGACAAGACTCGGATGTACCTAACTGACAGTCGTCCACCGCCTGTAAGCCTTTGACTACCAAGAAGTACTGGCTTGATGGATCATCATACCTTGACCGATGGCACGCTGTGCACCCGGGTACCCCTTGGTCAGTCTCCCCTTCTCTGCCCTCGTCAGAAGGAGTTTCCGGAGACTGCTTAGTGGGGATGAGAGATGGGTCCTCTATGATTTCAACCCACACAGTTTCTCTCAAGGAGAAGATCCATTCTAGCAGTCCAAACCGGGCATGTATTCCGAAAAGGTTCTCCTGTGCTGCTCCTGGGACGCGAGGGGATACTGCAGAACGAGCTGCCCTGTAAGAACAGACGGTCACCGCTACCATTTGTGTCGCTCAGCTCGTGAAACCGGTGGAAATTGTTTGTAAAAAATGAGCCGAGACTAGCTTCGGGTCACTCGTTCACAGCACACGAGACCCCATACCTGCTATGAAGACCTACCAAATAATTGAGGAGCAAGGCTGGAGACCAGTCCCCGCTCATCATATTCTCCTGACGTAGTCCCCTACGACTGCTACCTGCTCCGCCTCCTTAGGGCTTTCTTAGCTAAGAAAACTTTCAGCAACTTTGATGACATCAGTCGAGAGGGCGCTGACTTACTCTACTCGCAGCCTTCTCAGTTCTGGGAGGAGGGGAATGCTTACCTGTCCATTGGGTGGAGCACTGTAGTGGCTAACTATGACGAGTATATTGTTGACTAATTCCCACTGTATATTGAGTTAGAAAATAAAAGAAAAAAAAGTCACAACAGTGACAAGACTTTCCTTCCAACCTATACTTGATCCCTAATCAATCGATATCAAATGTTGAATTCCGCTCTCAAAATCAGGGTTCATTACCCACCTTCGCTCGATTTGACATCGAATGAAATCGAGCACAGCGTCCAGTTGGCTTCATCACATGATCCACTCTTTTCCTAATGAACGGCCAATTCACATTCCATTCTTCAATAAGCATATCAAACAGCGAGAAATACTCCATCATATCGTCCAAAATCTTTTTCAGAGCGAAGAATTTCTCTTCCTCTTCCTGCAAACCGACCGTTATGGAATGGTCAGAGGATCTGAACGCTTGAATCCAATCCCCCCGCCTTGAATATCTGGCTAATCGTTGTTTGAAAAATCTTCAAAATGGCTAACAAATCATGATAATCTACATTGATTCTTACTGCTCTATCCTGAAGAAGATTGAGATGGAACCTCGATTTATCCTGGCGTTTCTACCTTTCTTCGTAATCACAGATGGCTCGAAGCACTCAACCTCCACATTGACCTCGTTTCGAATGAACGCAAGAAACCAAACTTATTCCCAGCCGAAGTTTGCGCGAGGGAAACTGGAGTGCTTATTCAGTGTTACAGTTTTGTTCGCTGCGGATGGAGAGGGCGTCCCAGGAGGACTGGTTTGGCGCGGCACCAGCCTGTCCCCCACCAGCTGTGTTCGAGCCGGCCCCCCTGAAACGCCTCAGCGTCCGCATCGAACAGAGCTGTACTTCCACGACATTTCTCGGTGGCAAGAATCAGGCCTTATCAGTAAAGGAAATGGATGCACTTTGCTATCACGAACTTACGATTTTTTTGCACGACACAAATCACTTTTGTGCGTATATGGGGTTCAAAGTTGGGTCTCACAGTCAAGGATGGGCATTAGGTTTAGATCAGTAACATTTCAATTGTCTCCGTCAGAGGATTGGAAAGTGCGAGTTACCCTGTCCAAGCCGTCAGGCGACCCCCCTCAGCTGACCACTAAATCATTATGAAAAAATGGTGAAGACTATTGGATATTTCAATGTGTTTTCTAAAGCAAAAATCCTCAGTATAGAAGAACCCTTGCCGTAGCTCACCTTTTCGAATCGCTCTGTGAATAACATTCGGTTAATGACGTTCCCAATCAGTAACTCGAAATTCTTGTGAGCATTAATCGATTTTCCTTCCGTCGCCAAGCGCTTATCCAATCTTTCACACCTGCAAATGTTTTCAAACGTCTACGCTCCACAGTGGGGGCCTCATTTCGCGCTGAGGGTATGGGTGGAGTCACTAATGTGTCACAAAGACCGGTGTGTTTTCCATTGGTGGAAAACCACACTTGTCACAGTGACTCCACCCACACAGCTTCTCGAAGTCTAGTGTGACAACTTTGTCTAGCTCATTTCCGGGCCACTTCTGTAGGCCCAGAGCATCTGAGCGGTTTTAACGCAGGATATATGTTAGATAACTGCTGTTTTACGCCGCAGTACGCGTTCGAAAGTTATCACAAGAATGCTGAGTTATGGGCAAAAGTCGTGCCCAGGCGGGCGCACCTCACGCTTTCCGGGCGAGTGCGCTATCCGTTACGCCACCAGGGCCGCTTTTACCCTCTCAGCTTAACGGCTTATGCCGTAGCCTTACAGCACTCACACGTTTAACTTGGTGAGCCGGTCAGCCGTAATCGTTAGATATCGGCATGGAACCGCGATGGCTTTTGAAGTCGATTTTGTTAGATAACAAAGTTATCATAACAAAACAGCTTCAAAAACATCTAAAGCCTTAGGCCTCGCGGTGCGGGTTCGACTCCCGCCTGGGGCACGACTTTTGCCCATAACTCAGCATTCTTGTGATAGCAGGATATATGATTGAAAAGAAAAAGAAATGAGTGGAGATCTCAGCCCTTCATCTTGTATTGGCGTAGCTATACAACGCAGACGCAAAGGGTGGAAGGCAGGATAAGTGGATGAGCCCTCCCCCTCGCTCGCCCGACATTTTTCCTTTTAAGGCATCCATCGCAAGCAGGAGAAGTTCTCAGTAGTTTAATTTTGCTGTGTGGTGTGTTTTTTCTTCACAACAATCTCGTACTCACGCGATTTCGAATTCGTACATGATCCTCTCCTCAATGATGTTCCTCCCCAGACCGAAGTTCCGAAGAGTGTGCAAAGCAAAACGGCGTTGTTCCAACCAAGGCGGTCCATTGGTGACGATGATCCCACGACCATCTGAAAAACGATACATCCAAGGAGTATGAAGTCCGTCCGCATTACGGCTGTCAACTTACTTCTTGTCAATGCAAATAGATAAGGATTATTCCTGCTGGCAAAAGCTGAGCCTTTTTTCACCATTGCATCCACTGCTGTGGAGTAGTCGCAGATGTTCACGGTCGCCATGGGACCAAACCAAAAAGTGTGGACGGGTCCATATTCCTAAATCAATCTCAGTTATTGCACAGACAGAGCACTGCCAAGAGAAATATGTCAGTCAAACCTCAACCCAGTCTCGGACAGCTTCGACGAAGTTCTTCTTTTTGATGAACAATTTGTACCAGAGTTGATGCATATTCCCGATGAAAGGCAAGGAAGTGGTCCTTAAAGCAGGTATTTTCATCAACAGATGATGATCAGACCTTCTTAAGAGAAACTCTGAAGTGATACCCATTCCAACTCCCGGCTAGGCTAAGGATAACATATACAATACAGATATACACTTATCACATGAGTGGTGCCAGGCTTCCCGCGCCTTTCTTATCAGTGAAGTGCTCCTCTGCGCCATTCCATGTCAAATGAGAAAGACGCAGTGGTTGGGTGCCTCCGTCTATGTGGTCAGCGTGGTCCCTTGAAGGTAGTGGGCAGGATGGCTGGGGCGAGCGCTTACGGCCAACGTTATTGGTGGAAACGTGAGTGGGTGTGGTCAGATGAACTTTCGCAGCCCTTCCACCAATAATGTTAGCAGTGACCGCCCGCCCTCAGCCATCGTGCCTACTGCCTTCGAAGGAAGAAAATTGAGGCCTCAGAGGGTAATTATAACATTACATAACGACAGCGTGTTATCAGATGAGTAGTACGACCATAGCAAATCTGGGCCTTATTTCAACTTTCAAACCAAACCTGGTGGTAATTTCCTCCTTTGAATCCAGAGCCTAATGAAGAAGTAGCTGGCAATACCGATGAAAACGGCCAAGAAAAACATCGGAATCAAAGCTGGAAAATACGTAAATCAGTACCTCTGCTTTGGAAAAATCAATAAGCAGACTCCACGATGGGAGGACACAACACAACGAACGACATTGACAAGATACAACGCTTCCTGGAGCGCTGTTCGGTTTGGGAGGGGCATTTTTTTAGTTCTGTTGCTAGTTCGTATTGACTAACAGAAAATTGGTGATACCTGTAAACTCCTGCGAACAACGAAGTGGTAGAATGAGCCTTTTTGGTTGCAGGAGTTCACTTCGTCACAAGCTGGCCTGTACAGTTCGCTGTGTATCATTTTTCCCCCACCCGAGGCGAAGAACTGCGCCCTTCTGAACTACATTATCTCTGGAAATGTCGGATTTAGCGCAGAGACAGAGGCTCGGTTGCCTAAAACGGAAACTAGTTTCCCATTCCATTAGTGAACATAAAAGCAATGAAGCCAGTAAGTAATTCGGGCTACTATTTGACAGGAAATGTCTGAAATCTCTGCTAACGGATTGGAGTTATCCACCCTTCGCTGTGTATCCTGCCTGGGCAACCATCACACTGTAGATTTTTTTCGCAAAATGCGACCCCCCCCGCTCAAAGATGCTGCTTTTGTAGGCCGCAATCTCCTTCCAAACCTATTTACCTGTCACCAAACTGCCCATGACTTTGCCGTGGAGGGGGAGAGGGGGGATGGACTCCAATCAATTACCAGACATAGCAGGAAAAAGCCAAGTTAGTCCACAAGACTGCGTAGAACCTTTGCATTGGTAAGAAAATGTCGGTGAGCGAGGCAAATGGGGCCAAATGAACCAGTTCTGGCGAGAAGTCAACTCCGACCGAATAACATCCCAAGAAGATGGAAAGACATCACGACAAGTCAACAAATTGGACAGCGCATGTGTGTGGGTGTGTCCATGTGACAAGCACCAATACTGATAACGACGCTAAAGTAAAAATCCGAACACCTGATATGCGATACCTAACACTCTTATCACATCAAAATCCCGCCCACTGTCCAGCTCAGCAATTAGCCGCTTCTCTCTGTCTAAATCCCAAAATGACGGTCCCACAGAATCAAGAATGAAACTAAGCAGTGCTCGGGGAAGGGTGGAGGAGGCATGTGGCGCTTTCGCTACTTCCCATCTAGACACGCGACCCGTCTAGACAGCCTCTTTACGAGTTACGGACTTCACCTTGATGGCTCAGGAGCTTGATCCAGCTTCCCAAGGGTTCACAAGCTTGACCAGCGGGAGACTGACTTGTAAACCGGTACTAGTGAAGCAACAAAAGTGCAAAATGCCCCTCCCCCCGTGAAACAGTCTTTATATAGCATTATTTGCGTCGTATGGTTGATGCAGTTGGATAGGGTGATGTGGATTCACTGTGTGAGTAGTAATCCTGTCGCTTTTCGTTGTAAATGGTGTTGACGTATTTATGGTTATCCTAGGCAACTGCGGGTGGGGTAATCGCATTAGAAAGGTGCTGAATGTGGCGGCTGGGCTTTCTTAAAGGCACAGTTCGCGACCGCAAATTGCGGGAAACGGAACTCAAATAGGCACAAAAAAGTGCTAAGTATCTGATTAGCGGAGAAAAGCAGCAGAAAAAGCAGTCCGAAATGTTATAGAGAAAGATAACATAGTGGCTACTAGCTAGTAGCTAGCAGCCGGTGAGGGTCGGCATGGGCCTAAGGGGTGTCCATGGGCCTAATTAGTCAGCTTCTAGCGGAGTTCTTGCCGTTTTTCACATTTTGAAAGTAGCGCAGCCTCAAAAATCGCCTTCCGGATCGTCCGACACATTTGAGAGGTCATAGCCTTATTTTATCGCGGAATGTGCCTTTAAGCTTAGGACGTGGTGTTACATTGTGGGGATTCGGGGTTGTGGGTCAGATAGCCCCCTCGCCCTGTATTCTGCAGCTGGGTTCTCCTTTTCCTCTTTTCGTATTTCCCATGTAAGTTGTTGCCATTTCTATGACTCTAGTTTTGGACTAAAGGCGAAAGGTTTCTTTTGTGGAGAATTTTCATCAGAAATACTTCATGAAAAGCTTTCGTGTCATCCAGAGAATTGGCCTCTAGTTCGGCCACTGCTTGGATCGAGACCCTTTTCAAGTTCCCTCGAGGATAAGGACGAGCCAGTCGAGGAGGTACCGCCGGTCAAAATGGGAGTGAGTTCAGTTCTTTTTTCATATATGTGAGCTGTTGTAGTTAAGTAGTTAAGAAAAGATGGAGGGACGTCATCAAGAAGGACCTCACTGAAGTGAAAGCCACAGCAGAAGATGCAGTGGATCGGAACAAGTGGCGACGTCTAACAAGAACAGCGGACCCTGCGACGGCGCGGGACTAACGCTAGGGAGGAAGAAGTGAGCTGTTGTAGTTAAGTGGACACTTTAGGTCTTTAGTGGCTACTGCCCGGCTTGCCGAACCAGCGGTTAACAGAGTGGACGGATTACGTAATCAGGCCCAGGAGGCCCATCCTTCTGTCGAACAGCCTTCTCTCAGCTGACCGTTAGTCCGGCATTTCAGGCAGTAGCCACAGAACACCTCCATTAGTGGCTCTTCACATTTCATTATTTATTGATACATCATTGTATACGCGATAGGATCATATGAAACTGATACATTTATTCGGCACTGCTTACATCTTCCTTAATTGTCATGAAATCGTACTCTGCCAGTACACTCGGACACTGGTGCAAAGATCTCTGCACATCCGAGAGAATCATGTCAAAGCTCGAGGTCGCTTACCGACGGAATGGGGATGTCGTATGGCTGATGCCGCTGATCCTACCCTATGTTCCCAAAAGGCAGAACCACCTCTGGAGACTCGACTCCCCTGATGGCGCGGCTCATCGCAAGGCTATTCAAGAGGCCGCGGAGCGGTGGTTGCCCCGGTTGGCAACAACTGACAAATACCCCCCCCCCTGGCCTCCCTCCTTCGTCCTTTCCGCCTTTTCCCTTGTCTATTCATGCATACGCATAATAACGAGTAAACATATAAATACACACTAATGTTCTTTCTTTACCGTACGCCCATCGGATGAAGGCCCGCGCGAAGGCCCGGTGTAGGCATCAGCGAATTACGCTTCTCTTGCCGAATACCCGTACAGGGGGGAGAATCGAGCAAGGCAATAGTACCCTGCCGCTAGGCCAAGTGCGGCGATGGGCGCGGCTTTTCTTAGCTCGAGTAGCCCGCCCATCAGAGCACTAGATATCACGTGGGCTACGAGACTGTGGACACTTATGACCATTTTTGGCTCTACATCGCCTGGGGTCACATCTACGAGCTGCGCACTACGCCTACCGGGTGTCAGGGTTGAGGAGACTGCGTTCAAGCCTCAAATGAACATGGCTAGAGTTGTTCATTAGCGGAATATAACAATCTGAAAGAACTGCCATCTCCGTTGCTAACAGCAGGATGACTACAATTGTCCAAAAATCAAAAATTACCATCAAGGGGCAGCTGTCACCACGTTCAAATGGAGTCCAAATCTCTGGAATACGATGGAGCCACTCCCATCGCATCGTGGAGATTTGGAGTGCATACGAACCATGTTCGTAGTTTGAGTTCCGCCTGCACTTTGCTGGAATTAATTAGCACTTGAAGTAAGATCGAATCATATACATGCGTACTACTTAGTTCCGCCTGTATACGTGATCCACACTTCCGCCCATCCCCATCTCCGTAAGAGGATGATCCATGGACGGGGAGTACCGAGTGGCTTCCTTTCACATTCAAAAATCGAATTCAGATCGAACAATTTCTGCCATTTTCGCGCCTTGCCCTTGAAGCTCACTTTTATGGATTCGGACGAGAAGTAATGCGACACTTTGTGCTATCTTAGTAAGAGTGTTTACACTTTTCCAACACTTTGGTCTCTGATTACTGATACAGAATTGTTAAAGGTTCCAGTAGGAGATGGTACTATTTGATACATTCTGTTATACGCGTTTCTGCAATGCCATCAACCAGATATCAAGGAACTTAATATAAGGGTTGTATTCCCACGGATGTCATTCATTACGTCCCATTTACTCGCTGGTATCAGTGCTCGGAGACAGGAGACATCTCACTAAAGTTGAATAACAAAATGGCTGGCCATAAGTAGGGAGTGATCTCCCTCCACTTAACACCCTTAGAGCGCAGCCGAGCGCAAACAGTTAAGCGTAGGAGTCGTGCTTTTTCGCCTTCAGTTTGTAGTAACTGACCACGCGGTCTTCTTGCAGCTATTGAGATATTGGAAACTGCCGTAGTTATTGACGGAAAGACATTTCAAATGAATGTATTACAAATATCTCCATGTATTTATCGAAATAACTGCGAACTTGACTAATTAACTGTCTTTTTCTTATGAAACATTTTGATCGTTGCGCGACAAGTATCGGA